CCTATTACATACTTACTACATATTATTCCCTTAAGCACTTGATATTTCTCTCTCTCTCTCTCTCGTACAGGGGATAGAACCCAGGGACATTCTACCACTGAGCTACATCCCCGGTCCTTTTATATTTTTTATTCTTAGACAGGGCTTTTCTAAGTTGCTGAGGCTGGCCTAGAACTTGAAACTTTCCTGCCTCAGCCTCCTGAGTTGCTGGGTTCACAGGTGTGTGCCACTACACTTGGCTTGATTTCCTCTTTAATTAGCTTAAATTCCATGTGATAACTCTCTTGCATACACCTTGGACTCTCTTGCCCTTCTGTGGTCTAAATATACTCCCCTGACCAAATCGGACCCTGTCTCCTATGTGCCTGTACTGGTACAGCTGTGCTAGTGGCTGGGGGGAAACACAGCTCACTCACAATTGTCTTAAAACAAGTGAGATTATCTCACCAAAGAAAATTCTGGGGGCCTGGGGCCTGCCAGGAAGCCTTCCAGGACACTCTATCTGACTCCTGCAGGTGGGCAGGCTTCCCCAGCTACTGGGCACACAGTACAATGGGGTCAGGCACCAAGTCGACCTAATTAAAAAGCTCATTGACCAGCTCATCCTCATTAACAGGCTATCCATGTGCAAAAGCACAGAATCCCCTCTGCTTCCCAAGCTGGGGATCCCAGTCACTGTCCCTAGGGCCTGGAAATTCTGGCCAGTTTATTAAAGTGACCTCCCTGTCTGCAACCATCAGGCACATGGCAACAAACTGGTAGAGGAGCTAAGACCAAAAATCTCGAGTTTGACTGACCTCATCAGAGGAAATAAATTGCAATTGGATTGTTCTGTTTTGGGCCTTTGAGGATGAGGCTGATTGAACATCAGTGATCCAATCGGCTTTAGGATGACTATGGATGCTGGAGAACATTAAGAGCAGTATGTCTACCACAGAGGGCACAGAGTTGGCACCCATGGCTCCATCAAGGGCAAGGCCTGCACAGTCACTGCTTCAAAACAGAGCTGCCTCTTCAAAAACAAATCCTGCCGTGGTGCCTGGTCTTTAGTAGGGGCTTGTTAGAGATCTGTGATTGAATGAGTAATACACTCAAGCCAGAAACCAGTAAAATGCATTATCCTAAGTGAAGAAAAATTACTATTATAGAATTCATGTTGAAGAAGATTGTGATGAGGAAGAAGAGATCTGTGACAACATCCTTGAAGGAGGTGACTTCTTAATACTTGTTAGTTCATCTCTATAATTTCCAAGGGGAGGGAATAAATGCCTTTTGAATAAAAGCAAAAATTCTCTCACTTTTGATTCATAAATTTCAAATGAACTTTTTATTTTTTTGAGGGGCTGGGGATTGAACCCAGGTTCTCAAGTATGCCTGGGAAACTCTACCATGGAGCCACATCCCCAGCCCTCAAGTGAGTGTTCAGTGGTCCTTCAATCAAAATTTCCTAATCCATTCTCAAAAATCATTTCATTACTTCTCTGTCTTCAAACCCCCAACCTTCTTCATCCTTACTTTCAGCTGGTGACCTTATTTTCTACTTCACCAAGACAAATGAAGACTAGAACAACTGCATAATTTCTCCACTCCATTGACTACCGCATACCAACATCTGTTGTTCCCTGATTCTCTGCTAGCCTTACTTTAGGAGGGATATCACATCCACCCTTCCAACTGGATCCGCCTCCCCCCCCCCACACATTGTCACCGTTTTTTCCTCTCTTGTGTAATTCCTATCAGTGTATAAACATTGTGTTATTCCCCTAATCTCGCAAACTTGCAAACTTCGTTTGACCACAGTTCCTCCAACAGTTTGTCCAAATTCTTCCTTCTTTCCTTTCCCAGGTGGAAGATCTGACCCAAAGCCTCCTGAAGGGTAGGCAGCGTTCTACTACTGAGCTATACCCTCAGGCCTGGTTTACCCTATTTCCTTCTTCCTTTTTGTTGTAAATTCCTTAAAATAATTGATTAATTATCTCCTTAAAATAATTGAAAAGAACTTTCTTTTCCTTTTTTTAAAAAATAAAGGTACTGGGGATTAAACCCAGGGGTGCTGTACCACTGAGTTACATCTCTAGCACTTTTTATTTTTTATTTGGAGACAGGATCTCCCTAAATTGGTGAGGCTAGCCTTGAACTTGTGTGCATGCCTGTAATCCCAGTGACTTGGAAGGCTGAGACAGGAAGATCGCAAGTTTGAGGCCAATCTGGGCAATTTAGTGAGATCTTGTTTCAAAATAAAAAATAAAAAGGACTGGGAATGTAGCACAGGGTTAAAGTATCCCTGGGTTCAGTCCCCAGTACTAGAAAACAAAACAATATTTTTCAATGTTCTGTTTTGTTTTTTACTACTCCCATCTCCTCCACTCCTGCTTCCAGGGGAATCCTGGAAATGCTTCACTTCTGGTAACATTTCTAACCTTTAAAAAACCAAAGTTGAACATACATGCAACAAATGTTTTAGACACCATTTGCACAACCCCAGCCCCAGAAATTTTTTTTTAATGTTTATTTTTTAGTTGGGGTTAGACACAATGCCTTTATTTTATTTATTTTTACGTGGTACTGAGGATCGAGCATATGCTAGGCGAGCACTCTGCCACTGAGCTACAACCCCAGCCCCCCAGAAATGCTTTTATTAAGTTTGGCAATGAAACTTACTTAGTGTCAAAATCTGACCTGAACTGATGGGTAGCTTTATCTTTACTGGGGATTATTTAAATGTTTTTCCAAAGAATCACTCATATATTTTTATTATGGGTGCTTCCCTGAAACCTGATATTTCATAACAGTATATTACATTCCTAAAACTTATAGAATCTTTAATATTGAAAAGCACTTGGATCTGAGGGGTTGGATAAGAGATTATAAACCGGCAATGGATTTATAAACTCATCCATGCTTGGGACTGTTTCAACACTGCAATGATTTTAATATGTTAGATTATGTAAAATTGTTCAAACAAGTCCCCTGTAGTTGCTTGTGCAATAGCAGTTTTTTTTTTTTTTTTTTAATACCAGGAATAAAGCACAGGAGAGCTTAAACACTGGGTCACATATCCAGCCCTTTTTATGTTTTATTTTGACATATTTTGAAACAGGGCCTTGCTAAATTGCTGAGGCTGACTTTGAACTTGCAATTCTCCTGCCACAGCCTCCCTAGATGCTGGAATTATAGGCATGTACTACTGTGTCTGACACAAAATGTTTTATTATAAAGATTTGGAATGTTTAATACAAGTTTTGCATCCTTCCATGATATTTAAATATATCTTTTTTTTTTTTTTTTGTACTGAGGATTGAATCCAGGGTTGCTTTACCGCTGAGGTACATCCCCAGCCCTTTTTATTTTTTATTCTGAGACAGGGTCTTGATAAATTGCTGGAGGTTATTGTGATCCTCCCGTCTTAGTCTTCCCAGTTGCTGGGATTACAGTCAGGTGCCACCATACTCAGCTCTTTTTCTTTTTCTCCTTCCTTTCTTTCACCAGGGATTGAATCCTGGGGCACTTTACCATTGAGCTATATCCCCAGCCCTTTTTATTTTTTAGACAGAGTCTTGCTAAATCGCTCAGGGCCTTGATAAGTTGCTGACACTGGTGATCCTCCTGCTCAGCCCCTCAAGTTGCTGGAATTATAGGCATACACCACTGAGCTTGGCTCTTTTTTTTTTTTTTGTGGTGCTGGGGATTGAACCCAGGGCCTTGTGCATGCAAGGAAAGCACTCTATCAACTGAGTTATATACCCAGCCCTGAGCCTGACTCTTTAAACAAATCTTAAAGAATCCAAGTTATTGCCAGGCAGGACAGTGCACACCTGTAATCCTAGCAACTTGGGAGGCTGAGGCAGGAGGATTGAAAGTTGAAGGTCAGCCTGGGGAATTTAGCAACACCTTGTCTTAAAAATAAAAATTAAAAAGGATTAAGGATGTAGTTCAGTGGAAAAGTGCATCTGGATTCCATCCCCAATACTACAATCAAACAAGCAAACAGACAAACAACAACAACAAAAACCCAAGTTATTTAAAAATATTGTTAGTGATTCAACTTGGGGACAAAAATTTAATAACTTTCTTTCTTTAAGAACTATTTAGAGTTTGGAAGGTGAGCTGTTAAAAAAGCTGTTGCATTTACAACTCTGTGGGAAAATTAGGACTTTCTTCTTTTGTACAATCAAAACAAAATGCAGAAATATATTATTATTATTCCTGATGTGGTTTTTGTTTTGTTTTGTTTTCAGCCCTGCAGATGAACCCATGACCTTGGGGGTATTAGGCAAGTGCTTCCCACTGAGCTAAATCTTGAACCACCAATATATTGTTATTCTTAACACTAATTGTAAATTGTTATTATCATGTTCCTAAGGTAAATATTTTAAACATGATCTTATTAAATATTTTTGTTAATTAAATACCACTTTTGATTTATTTGACACTCCAAAGTGTCTCATAAATTTTTATTTGTAAAAGGTTTTATTCAACTTCCCAGTGGTGTAAAAATGAAAAGGAAAATGTAAGTAGAGATTAATAAGTATATATTCTGTAATCCTTGGACAAATGAAAGGCATCTTTGATTTGTTTCAGGTAAAGAATGTGGTTGGGGGGCTGGGGATATGGCTCAAGCGGTAGCGTGCTCGCCTGGCATGCGTGTGGCCCAGGTTCGATCCTCAGCACCACATACAAGCAAGGATGTTGTGTCCGCCAAAAACTAAAAAAAAAAAATTAATTAATTAATTAATTAAAATTCTCTCTCTCTCTCTCTCTCTCCCCCCCCCTCTCTTTAAAAAAAAAAAAAAAAAAAAAAAAAAAGAATGTGGTTGGTACTATAAAGTAGAGAATTTATGGGATGGGGATGTAGCTTAGTGATGGAGCACGTACTTTGTACCCTTGAGGTTCTGGGTTTGATCTCCAGCACAGCAAAAAGCCAAAACTAAAACCAAAAGGCAATACGAAAACAAAAACAAACAGACAATACAATTAGAAATAGAGAGTTTCACAGTGTCTTTCTGCATCAGCGGTTTTAATGTGGGTTCTTAGTGGTGATCTACTGGTCAGATTACTATGTTTTACTGCTCTCTGGATTCTGGCCTAGTGAAATCTAGGCTCAGACATCCTCCCCAATCTCTTTCTTGATCCAGTCCACATAACTGAGTAGTTTGGTGTAGAAGCCATATCCTTTACTGCATCCGATGCCCCAGGATACGATGCCCGTAGCCACCCAGCGATCGCTGTTGGTGTCCCTCACTGCAAAAACACCTCCGCTGTCACCCTGGCAGGCATCCTGCTTTAGAGATGGGTCCCCCGTACAGAACATGTTTTGAGAAAACACATCGTTACTCTGTTTTTCCTGGAGCCACCTCTCACATGCCTTTCGATCAGCTACAGGTAAGCGGACAAACCTGAGGTCGTTAGCAATCCTCTCCTCTGTTATCCCAAAGCCACTGACATAGCCCATGAGACCTTTATCATAGAAGGTCTCATTGTCAGGGAGGCAGATGGGGAGGATGTTGGGGCCCAGGGTGACACTGTTTTCAAGCTCCAGCAGGGCAATGTCCCCCTCAAAACTGTGGGACTCGTCCTGACGATAGTCTGGGTGGACGATGACCCTGTGGACAGGGTGATTTCCCAATTTCTGGATCTCCTCCACATTTGTGTGGCCCAGAAACACATCCTTGGTGACATTTTCCTGTGCGTTGTGGTCCTTGGGGAAGAGAGTGTGGGCGGCTGTGAGGATCCAGCGGTCACCCAGCAGGGCCCCACCCCCTCGCCCGTAGATGACGGTGTACGCCTGCCAGGGGAAGTTGCCCGGCTGCGCTTTTTGCCCTCCAATGATTCGCTGCTTCTGTTGCACAGGGTTGACGGGCTTCCCACACACTAGAGAAGAGAGACAGGAGGACAAGACCAGTCAGCCCGGGTCCTCCCCCCCCCCCCCCGCCCCTTCTGTGGCCAGTCAGTTCCCCTCCTCCCTTCTGTTTGATTCTTGCCCATTTTCTTTCTCCTCTCTTCCTACGCCCTGTTCTTGGACCTATTGTGGGCAGTTTCTCCTCTTCTTGTTTATTTCTTCCTGGGATTTCTCTTATATTTATTCCCTGATTTCCCATCGGTGAAAATGCTAGAGCATCAGGACTGGGTCCAGTTCTCTGTGCCTCTCTTACTTTCTCCTAGTACATTCCTCCTCGTCTCTGTATTATTCTCCTTTGCCCTTACTCCTCATCTCTGGTTTTTACTTCCAGCTAAAGTATCTCTCTCCTCACTCGGGTCTCCTTTCTCTGTGCCATGCTTCTTCTGGGGTCGGGCAGGGCTGCTTTAGATATCAAGGATGGCCCCAGAGGGTTTCCACTCACCTGGCAAACACCGAGGGATTTTCTCTCCTTCCTGTTCATTCTTCCAGATGCCCTGGGCTGTGCAGGTGTACAACCCTGAGGGTGGGAAGGGTAAGAAAGCCAGGTTGCAGAAGCCAGTGAGCACTGACTGTGTTGTTATAGGGAGATGGGAGATAAGGAACCAACACAGATGAGGATGAAAGTTAAACTGTTCAAATATATAAGGATAAAATATCAAAAATGTTAAGAGGCTCTTACATATATTTTTGTTTTAAGGTCAAGTGGAAAAAAATTAGAGTACTTAACTACATGTCTAATGTGAGGCCTATTTGTGCAAGTAGTCATAAAACCAAAGAAATATATCCAAATCTTATCAGTGAGGCTTTTTTTTTGGTACTGGGGATTGAATCCAGGGGTACTTAACCACTGAGCTACGTCCCCATCCTTTTGTATTTTTTACTTGAAGACAGGGTTTCACTAAGTTGCTTAGGACCTTGCTAAATTGCTAAGGCTGGCCTCTAACTGATCCTGCCTCAGCCTCTGGAATTATAGGCATGTGCCACCATGCCCAGTTAGTGACACATCTTGGTAGCGGGATTGCAGATAATTATGGTAGCTACTTTTTTTTTGGTACTGGAATTGAACTCAGGGGCACTCAAATACTAAGTCACAACCCCAGCCCTATTTTGCATTTTATTTAGAGACAGGGTATCACTGAGTTGCTTAGCACCTCGATTTGCTGAAGCTGGCTTTGAACTCATGATCCTCCTGCTTCAGCTTCACTAGCTACTGGGATTACAGGTGTGTGCCACTTGCCCAGCATTAGCTACTTTTTTTTGCTTGTTGACAATGTACCATGCTTTTGGCTAAGCATTTTGTCTACATTATCTCATTTATGTGCCACCAGTGATACTTTCAGGTACATATTATCTTCAATTTATACAGATGTGGAAACTGAGTTTAAATAATTTGCACAAGGTCAAAATATTCTTTTATTTATTTATTGGTATTGGAGATAGAACCCAGGAATGATTTACCACAGAGCTGCATCTCTAATCCTTTTAATATTTTATTTTGAAACATGGTCTCACTAAGTTGTTTAGGGTCTCATTAAATTGTTGAGGCTTGCCTTAAACTTGTGATCCTCCTATTTCAGCCTCCGAAGTCTCTGGGATCGATCACAGAAGTACACCACTATGCTTAGCAGGATCACAGAATTTCTAAGCACCAGAACTAACATGAATAGGGAGAGATGTCTGACTCCAAAGCCCATCTCTTAATGCATATCATACATAACCTAGTTTTTTTTTTTTTTTTTACAGTGCTGGGGATGGAACTCAGGGCCCCTCATACTTTTTTTTTTTTTTTGTACCAAGGATTGAACACGGGGGCACTCGACCACTGAGCCACATCCCCAGCCCTATTTTGTATTTTATTTAGAGACAGAGTCTCACTGAATTGCTTAGTGCCTCACTTTGGCTGATGCTGGCTTTGAACTTGCAATCCTCTTGTCTCAGCCTCCCGAGCTACTGGGATTATAGGCGTGCGCCACTGCGTCCAGCTCCTTCACACATGTTAGGCAAGTGCTTTACCATTGAGCTATACCCCCAACCTTGATTTTTTTTTAAGTTTTCAAGATACCCATAGATGATTTTGAGAGTCATTAAGTAAACCTAAATGAAAAAAATCACAATATTCACCCTGGGTGGGAAGAATGGAGGGGCAAGTCTCACTGAAACTGTAGTGGTGGTGATGGTAATGGTGGTCACAGTGGTGGTGATGATAGTAATGGTAGTGTTGGTGGTGATGGTGGAATTGGTATTGACAATGGTGGTATTGGTAATGGTACTGGTGGTGTTGGTGGTGTTGGTGGTGTTGATGGGAGTATTGGTATGGTGATGGTGATGGTGGTGTGTGTATTGGTTTTCGTAGTGATGGTAATAATGATGATTGTGGCAATGATGTTGCTGGTAATAATGGTGATGGTGGTGACTGTGGTGTTGGCATTGGTAATGATGATGTTATGGATACCCTTGGTGCTGGTAATGGTGGTGATGGTAATGATGTTGGTGGCGATGGTGGTGGTGGTGATGTTATTGTTGGTAAGGATGGTATTGGTATTGTTAGCAATAATGGTTATGATGGTGTCTGTGCTAGTGTTGGTGCTGTTGGTGGTGATGATAGTGTTGTTACAAGTAGTGATAGTGACTGTGGTGATGATAGTAGTGGTGGTGAAAAGGAAATGACAGTTTATGAAGTTCAAATCTTTTTCTTTGCATCAGCTCTGGTACCACCTTCTTCAAAACTAACATCGGGGCTGGGGATGTGGCTCAAGTGGTAGCAGGCTCGCCTGGCATGCATGTGGCCAGGGTTCGATCCTCAGCACCACATACAAGCAAAGATGTTGTGTCCGCTGAAAACTAAAAAATAAACATTAAAAAAAATTCTCTCTCTCTCTCTCTCTCTAATAGACTTTTCAGACTGTAATTTCAGGAGGAGCCAGTGTCCTGGGAAGATATATTAGCATACATTCCCTAAGGATTCCACTGGAAGACATCTCAGACATCCCAAGAAGATGTAAAGGAGAGAGGACTGTCATTGGCATCAGTTCCTACCTCGTGTGTTCTCGTTGCTGCCAGGTCTGATCTGCATCTTATAATATGGCTCATGGCAGTAGTACTGGATTTGGGCCTCGTAGGTGTTCACCCCACTTCTGGTGATGTAATTGAAGTCCCCATTAGACAGGCTTCGGGGCTGCCCACAGTCCTTGACTAGGGGAGAACACAAGATTGTGTGAGAACTGAGAATGACTGCCCTGGAGCTTCAGTAGGGGGAATGTAAGTTGTCTGCCTGCAGAACAGAGTGAGAAACTTAGATAAATACAGTCAGTGAGGAGGGCACTTGCAAAGGACAGGAGTTGGATGGGGTGAAATTTGGTTCTGGTAGAGCCCATTGATCTTGAGGAGATGGGGCTGAGTGGTTCCTAAGATGGGCCATAAGCTTCAAAGAGCAAGTCACGGAGAGGGGCTCTTGGAGAGAGCCTAGCCTGTACCCCCTCTTTCCTTCTCAGCTCAGGTACCCAAAGCTGGGAGGTCGCCAATGGAAGACACAGCCCTGAATTGTGACTTACTCTTGCACCTGGGCATGGCACGATGCCATGTGCCATCATCCTGGCAGACAGCTGTGAAGGACAGCAGTGCCTGGTTCCCCTGTTTGAGCAAAGGTGAGAGGTGCTGTTAGTACCAGGAGACAGGCAGCTGTCCTTCCCCACACAGGAGCAGTAGGGAGTTTCAAGTCGGCTTTTGAGCTCTCAGACCTGGGCTCCCCCACTAGGGCCCATCATGGCCTCCTGCCTTCTTCAAAACTAGTACTTTTCAGACTGTAATTTCTCACTAGCCAGACCTCTCAGTCCAGAGCCACAGATGGTATATCGACTCACAAAGCAGAAAGTTGGACCCAATAAGCTTCCCTCCAGACTCTTGCCTGTTCTCACTAAACCCTACGATTTAAAATTTCAAAACAAGAAAACAAACAATAAAACCCACAAGTCAGGATGGGTTTTTGTATTGAAAGAAAAAAACTTCACCTTAGAGTAAACCAATGCTTCTCTCTCCCTGGAATTCCCTGTATCACATTTTCTTTCCCAGATTATACTATTTCTTTCCTTTCTTTCATCACTGGGAATTGAATCTACTATTGAGCTACATTTCCAGCTCTTTTTAAAATTTTTTTTATTTTTTAGTTGTTGATGTACTTTTATTTTATTTGCTTATTTATATGTGGTGCTAGGAATTGAACCCAGTGCCTCACATGTATGAGGCCAGCACTCTACCACTGAGCTATAACTCCAGCCCATATATATATATATATATATATATATATATATATATATATATTTTAATTGTTGATGGGCCTTTATTTTATTTATTTATATGTGGTGCTGAGAATTGAACCCAGTGCTTCACACATGCAAGGTAAGCACTCTACCACTGAGCCACAACCCGAGCCCCTCTGGCACTTTTTAATTTTTATTTATTTTGATATTGGGGATTGAACCTGGGGGCACTTAACCACTGAACTTACCTCCCCAGTCCTTTTTTAAATTTTTAAATTTTGATACAGGGTGTTGTTGAGTTGCTGAGAGTCTTGTTAAGCCTGGCCTTAAACTTGTGATCCTCCTGCCTCAGCCTCCTGATTTGTTGGGATTACAGGTGTGGGCCACTATGCCCAGCCAGTTGTAGATTTCATTTATTATTATTTTGGGTACCAGGAATTGAACCCAGGATTGCTTAACCACTTAGCTACATCCTCAGCCCTTTTTATTTTTCATTTTGAAACAGTCTTGCTAAGTCGCTAAGGGCTTGCTAAGTTGCTGAGGCTGGCTTTGAACCTGCAATCCTCCTACTTCAGCCTCCTGAGTCACTGAGATTACTGGCACCACCATTCCTTGCCAATTGTTTATTTTTAAAAAGTAGCACAAGTTTTTGTGATAATGGCCCATCGACAAAACCATATTCTCTCTTGAGTCTGCAAAGCTGAGGACAGGTCAGTGGGCCTGGGATGAAACCATCAATATGCAGAAAAGAGCCCTGGAGCAGGAGTAGGAGATTTGGGTCCCAGTCCCTACTGTACCAAATCATTACGTTATGCTAAATAAGTCACCACATCTCTACCCTGCCTTTTCTGCCAAGAGTTATCGGACTAGATCACTAGTCCTTAAACTTGTCTGCATATTAGATCACCTTGGGTGGATTTAAATAATCCTAATACCCAGGGTGCACTATAGACTCATGGAATCAAGAGTCTCTTGTGGGGGACCCAACATTGGTATTTTAAAAACTCTCTTGAGTGCAGTCAAGTGTGAGAGCTGGTAGATCAGGTGACTCTCCAGCTCAAACCTTGATGATTCCAGTTGTGTGTGAGTCTAGGGCTGCTGTGGACCTACCCGTTGGAATCCTCCTGAGACACTGGATTGGCTTTCTCTCCTCAGCCTGAGGCTCTTACCTCCACAAGCTGGTAGCCTTGTTTGCAAGTGGCGATGAAGTAGTCGCGGAACTGGTACTGAGGCTGCAGTTTTTGGATGATGGTGAACTCATCCAGGGGCTTGGGCTGGGGACACTTGATAACTGTTGAGGAGACCAGTGGGCATGGTTATTTCAGAGCTACTTGATTTTCTTTTCCCCCACTCTCTCTCCCCATTGCTGGCCAGCAAGGGAGGTCCCCATGAAGCTTATTTTAATTTTTTGTTTATTTATTTATTTGGTGCTTGTGTTGGAACCCAGGGCTTTCTGCATGCTAAGCATAAGCTCTACACTGAACTCTGGCTGCAGTCTAGGAAGCTTACTGTCAGTGGTATAGTGCAGCTTCCAGCCCCTGCTGTCCCCCGACTCATCTGTGAAGAACAGCAGATCCACGGCATTGCTGCTGGTGTCAAGGTCAGGAGGTCTTTGGTTCCCACAGAACTCGCCCAAGTTCTTTCCATTAGCATAGATCTGATGGGGGAGGAGGGATGGTTATTTCTCCAGCTAGGACATTTTTTAGACAGGGATGCCTGGGTGTGAGCCTGGTGACCAGGGAGGTGGTGGTGGTGGAATCTTGCCTTGTGTATATTTTCAGCTGAAGGTCACTTTCAGTTTTGTGGGAACCTACCCAGCCTTTGTAAGGTGCTGGTCATCCCTCCCTCTTTGCCAGAGGATCCAGGAGCATAATGGGACAAGAAGAGCCAAGTGGATATGGGGAGAAGAAGGGGTCTTTCAGTGGGGTAGGGAGCTGTACCTGGAGCTGGTCATAGGGGCAGTGCACTTGCTGGTGGTCGTCAATTTCAAATGGCTCCAGGAACTTGATGTGAAGGGTGAGGCCCCGTTCTACCCGGATGCTGTAGTTGCAGCGCAGCTCAGGGGGGTAGGGCCGGGGGTACTCCAGGCTGGAGATGTAGCCGGATGGCTCTGTGTACAGCCCACTGCTGCACTCGGCTGTGAGATCAGAGCCAGAAGGGGTCACCAGGGTCTCTTGGGGTGGAGCAAGCTCCTGCTCCGTCCCTGTCTCCCTGCCTCCCTCCCGTGCCCACCTCAGTTTACCTTGGCAGGAATGCCCATCCTTCTGAAGCTCATAGCCTGGATGGCAGGAACAGAAGTAGCCGCCAATGTAGTTGTGACATAGGTGCTGGCACTGGGGCTGGGAGTCCTCCTCTGCTGAGTTGTGCTGGGAAGCACATTCATCGAGGTCTGGAAGAGATTCCAGAAAGAAGAGTTGAATTTCTGCTGGGAGACCTCTGCATTGGCTTTGGTCTTAGAGAGGTCAGTTACCAGGGGCCTAGAGATACAGTCAGTTTCTGACCACCTGGACCTCCAGGTCTTTCTAATGCTTTATAGGAATTGCCCAATGGGAACAGAGCCCAGGTTGACAGGCCTCTTTTGAATAAAGCTCTCTTGAAGGAAGAACAAGGAAAGCCAGGCTTTTGGCTCCTTGGAATTCAAGATTCCTTTTTTCTATCCCCCATTCAACGTGGCTGAGGCCAGAATCAAGGACTCCCTCAGGCCACTCACCCACAGCGTGATAGTAGGCCAGGAAGCCCTTGTAGAACATGATGGTCCCATTCTCCTCATTGGAAAAGTCTGTGTGGAAAGTCAGCAGCATCTTGGTCCCTTGGGACAAAAATTCTTTCTTCCCTGGGGGGTTGCCCAGTGCAGACCCCAGCTGCCCACAGAACCTTCCCAGATCTTTCTTATCAGCAGAGACCTGGTGGAGGAAGGACATGGGGTAGGAAGAAGCCCTGTGGAGGAATTGCTTCCCATGTGACAGGTTGGGGAAAGTCCTCCTCTCTCGCCCCAGAGAGAATCATGCCCCACAATGGCTCCAGCTGGTCACTGCTTGCTGGGCTCTGGCTGCTGCAATGTCCCAGGTGACTGATGTTCATGTGTCTGCCTGAGTCTTCCTGTGACTAACTCTTTGCATGTCCTCTTGTGCCTACTACCTCACTTCTCCTGTTTTATGCTCCCCCAGTGGATTGCAGGTCTCTCTTCATTCCCACCACTTCCTGTGCCCTTCTTCCACTGGAATCCTGGTCACCTCTGCCCAGCCTTTATCACTCCCTCATTCCTAGAGCCTAAACTGGTCTTTACTTTCTGTCTTCTTATTTCACCTCATCTTATTCAAGCCATTCACACCCTCTGGATATACCCAGTTGAATACAAGCTCCTGGGGCTCACCAGCCTTAGCTGATTTTCCAACCTCTCAAAGGCAGGAGACGTGCCTCACTGTCACTGCCACCAACCCTTCCCTCCCTTGCAGACTCGCCAAGTCCTCTGTACTAGGAAGAGGCACCATTTTCATGTTTTTCTCTCATATCCTTCAGGCTGTCACCTGGGAATGGTAGTTAGAGAAAATTCACGGGCTTTGCTTGAATCTGGAATCTTATTTTTGCTGGAAATAGAAAGACAGGACTGGGAAGGAAACCCCCTTGGTTACAGAGATGAGGGAACTGAGTCCACCATCCTTGCTGAAGGCTGTACTCATACACATTTCTTTTTCTCATGTTGATGAGGCATGCAGCCATGGAGATGTCCTCCATGAGAAGGGAAACTGAGGCATGGCTGTTTCCCAAAGACTACTAGCTAGTCAGCAGATTGGAGGTTTGTCTGACTCTTGTAGACTGAACCTCCTGAGAATGGGGCTGTGGCTTTGAGGGCTTTACAACCTGTGGGTACCCCATCTACAGAATCACCTGGTTTGCAGAACTCCACTTGGCACCTGCTTTTACAGGGCTGGGGTGGTGTTGGGGGTGGGCATGCTGTCCAGGGTGGTTAAGGCAGAAGCCTGAGCATCCAGAAGGGGCTAGGACCTTCCCTCCTCTGCCCTCCCAATCTGACTCCTACCTTGACATAGTCATAGAAACAGCCTTCAGAAGGCTCCACGTCAAAATGCCAGAAGACGAGTTTCACTCTGTATCCCTTGGGGACTGTGATCACAGTGGTTGTCTCAAAGTTGTTGGGGTAAGGCTTGGGGTACAGAGGGGAAGTAACTTCTCCAAAAAGCTTCTGAGGGATGGGGGTGGAGACTCCTGCCCTACAGAACAGGGCTGACACCAAGAGGAAGAAGAGCCACCTGCCAAAAAAGGAAAAGGGTGTCTGTGGAGGTGGAGGGGTGCAGCACCCTTGCTATTTAGGCATTGGCTGGGGTGGGGGACAGGATGGCCATATTTCTCTGCCTTATCCCCTCTGTCCATTTCTAGACCTAATAGAGATGCTCTTGGTGGGGGTAGGTGGGGCAGGGGGCCTGGCCTCTGCAGTTGTTGCATCCCTCCCAGGGCAGTGTCCAGTCCAGAGGTCACCACATTCTCATCATGCTCCCTCCCCAGCCTTCTCCCCTGCCCTGCCCCCTCCATCCCCTTCTCTTCCCGGAATAAGGCTGGCTTGGGACCAGTCAATTGAGGGTGAGGGTTTCCAAACATGGCTCTCTTAAAGGACTCCCAAAGGTTCAGCAAAGGCCTCTGGGAGAAACCCTTCATGGAGTCTGAGAAACACACATGGGAGATCCTCCTCCTGGGAAGATCTCAATGATCCCAAAAACAAAAGAAGGGGAAGATCATATTGGCTTACAAATGTAAGGACTCCTCTGGTCCTCTAGAGGAGGGATAAGGGTATGTGTTCATGTGTGTATATGCATGTGTGCATTGGGATAGATGAGGTATACAAGTGGGGAAGGGTGTTTCTGTCTCCCTGAATAAATCTGGATACAGGCTTGCCTCCTATGCCCAAGCTTCTCCCTCCCAACTTGGTGCCCATTAGCCTTACTCACATTTCTCAAGGCCCGTTTGTGTTTGGGTCCTCAGCTCTCCTGACAGCTTCTTGATGCACTGTGTGTTGAGGGAGACAGCAGTTGTGCAGAGGAGGGAAGGGGGAGGGAATGATTGTGGAGGTGGAGGGGGGACCATTCCCGGAGGAATGTTGTAGGGAATGAACTATTTGCATAATCAAAAAAAAAAAAAAATCTGTTTCCACTTTGTTTGGTTTTGGTTTTGAAATCCCTGGTAGTGGCGCCACCTGCTGGTACATTTGGGGAAGAGCTGTGGAGGAAGGTGGATCTGAATTTTTAAGGATCAGGAAGACTTTGGTTGGAACTTCAGACACTTCAGTTTCTAAATCTGATCAATATTTCTTCAAAGACTTTCCTAGGAGCTTCTGCTGTATTTTCAAAATTCCTATTGAACAGGCAAACAGGGAATCACAGACTGTTGGGGACTCCTTTTTTTGGGCTGCCTCTTTGCTTCCTTCCTTTCTTCCTTCCTTCCCTCCTTCCCTTTCTTTTTTCAAGACTGGGGATTGAACCCAAGGCCTTATGCATACTAGGCAAGTGCTTTATCACTAAGCTACAACCTCAGTCCCTTTTTAAAATCTTATTTTGAGACAGGGTCTCGCTAATTTGATCAGACTGGTCTGGAATGTACAATCCTCCTGCCTCAGCCTCCTGGGATTACAGATGCATCACCACAAAGTCTGTTCTTTTCTATTGACCCTGTTCTTCCTGTCCTTATTCACCCATCAGCCCTTGTCCAGGAGCACCCAGGGTTAAATGCCTGGAATGAAGTGACAGGAACAGTGGTGTAGGGGAGGGCCTGTAGGAGTGGCCAGAGGGAAATGGGTTTGGTTGTGTTGGGGCCCTGGCCTCTTTTACTCATGAATGACACTTAGGTGGAGAAGGAGGGTTATTATATCAGGTGACCCTAAAGCAGTATTAAGTGGTGAAATCCTCCCTCCCACCTCAGTGATCACAGGCTTGCCAACTTTCCTCTTAGAAAAATGGGGATAGCTTCGGAGGGGCAAGAAAAGTTCTCTTTCCTCAGCATCTGGTCAAGTTTGAGTCCTGATGATTACAGTTGCTTAGTGCTTAAGCAAAAGGGTGTGGCTGCAGAGCAAGAGTGACTTGGTCTTTTTCGAGAGGAAGCCTGGCCTCTGGGATAGCTCTCCTGTCCACCAGGACATGGTGTACTGTTTTCAATTTTTGCTCTTTGGGGGAGTCTTTTGTCATTAACTCTGCATAGCTCCAAATACCCTGTAGTACTGTGTCCCATAGGAGGCTCAGCCTGCAGAGCAGCCCTCCCAGTTCCTATACCTTTGTAGGCTGTCCTGCTTATTTTCCTTATGATATTGACTTCTCCATCACTCCATCCATCTGCCTGCCCACCTACTCATGTTACGGGTTACCTACTTAATGTGCTAAGCATTTTGCCAGACAGTGGATTGCAAGCACTCAACAAGATGGGCCAGTTGCCCATTTGGCAGTGACCAAGTCATTAGCAAATGCAGTTAGAGAGCAGGCACATGGAAAATGCAAGAATAACCAAGGTTTAGAGGCTTTACACACCAGGCTTATGTGTTGGAGTTGAAAACTGAGTCTGGTAGCAGGGCTGATTTAATGATGACATGATCTATGGACCTGTCGATCAGGAAAGACAAAAGATAGGGAGAAGGAGATGGACCAGATCAGAACATGAGGAGAAAGGGGAATTTTTGTCTATCGTAATTACAATTGTAATTGCACAATAGTATCCTAATAGCAGTGTGTGTGTGTTATGTTCATAATGGGGGCAGGGAGAACAGGTGAGGAGGGAACAATATAAGAAGGTAAGTCTTAGCTGAAATTTTCTCATCCATCCTAGGAATTCCCATTTCTGTCTTGGTGTCATGTAACATCCTAGGGGTTCTGAGTTCTGTTCTGTCATGCAATATGACTGGAAAATGACAAACCTGGACCTTATCCACTTAGGCCCCACCTCCACTCTGCCTACCTGTTCAAAATAACCATTACTTACATGTTTTTGGTATGCCTTTGCCATATACCAAGAATAGAAGAAAGAGCCAGATGAAGATTGTGCCTGCATTTATTTAAGATATTATTATATTGTTCATTCCTTTTAGGACTTGGTTCTAGAGGAAATAAATTTCTTTCTTTTTCTTTTCTTTTCTTTTTGGTACTGGGATTGAACCCAGGGGCACTTTATCACTGAGTTACATCCCCAGCCCTTTTAATTTTTTACTCTGAGACAGGACAGGGTCTCATTAAGTTGCTGAGGCTGGCCTTGAACTTATGATCCTCTTGCCTCAGCTTTTCCCCAGTCTCTAAGATTACAAGCATATGTCACTGTGCTCCACAAAAAAGTTTCTTTCTTAAAATAATGGTAGGTTTGCTGTGTTTATATCTCTGTAATTCATCATCCATATCTATTTCTCTAGATTTGGATCATCCTCACCATCTTTAGTTATAGTTTTATATGTATAGATTTGGAGCTAGACATAGACCTAAATCTACATTTAGAGATATAAATAGATACAGATCTAGACATTCCCACATGGATATAGATATCTATTTTTGCCATGGTAGGGAGAAACTCATATCATTTTTAATAAAAAACTAAAAAAAATAAATAAAATGAAATAAATAAAAATGACACATGCTCCCTAAATAAAAAAAAAAAAATTAGCCAATACAGAATGGGGGAGAAATGAACAGCCAAAATCATATCACCCAAAACACCTCTGTTTATTTATTTTTTTCTTTTTCTGTTTAATATTTTGAGTTTTTTTTTTTCTCCCAGTATTGGGGATCGAGCCTGAGGTGCCTATCCTCCTATCTCAGCCTCTCCAGTAGTTTGGATTAAAGGCATGGGACTCCATGCTCACCTGAGAATATTTTTATTGTCTTCTGTACTGCCTATAGGTTTATAAAATAGAAGCAGAAGTAACCATATGTATGTACAACTTTGAATCCTGCTGTTTTGCCAGGATAAATATAACCTTTGACCATAGGGGAACTTGACTTTCAACACTAATAAATTTGTTCTGTTTTATGTTATTCATTTTCTATTTCCACTGAATAGTTGTATTTTACTTTTTGTATTCCACTATAAAGCACCTCAAACCATTACTAAAAATTAAAGAGTTGGTCTTCTCTGGGTAGCTGTACCTTCATGATGAGAGGGGCACCAACCAGGCTGTCTGCAGGAACTTCCAATCTAGCACCAGGCTCACCTAGGTGTTTGCATGGGACAGGCCAACAGGAAGGGTGAGCAGGTGATGCCATCTACACAGAAGCAAGACCTCTCAGGGAGGGAGAATCTGTGAGGATGTAGGGACCGGAACACGGAAGGGGGTGATGTGGTAGGTCTTGAGGAGAACTGGGAGGATCTTGGCATCCTGAAGGAGCACAGCCTCTGCAGTCAAACACCAGCTGTGGGACTAACACGGGTCACCGTAGCTCCCTGAACCTCAGCTTCCTCATTTGTAAGATGTGGATAATAGCACATTCTTTGCAAAAATAGTGTGAGGACTAAGTAAAATAACATGTGAAGCACCTGGCATAGAGAAGACGTGAAACAAAAAAGGGGATATTTTGATAATTGCATCCAGGAGTTGTAGTAGGTGATGAAGCCCATAGCTTGAATATTTGAAGGTCAATTAAAGGGTCTTTGGAATAGTTCAGAAAAAAAATGCAGTTTTGGGAGGGGGGTACAGGGGATTGAACCCAAGAGTGCTTGACCACTGAGCCACATCCCCAGCCCTTTTTAATATTTTATTAAAGACAGGGTCTCACTGAGTTGCTTAGGGCCTTGCTAAATTGCTGAGGCTGGCTTCAAACTCGTGATCCTCACAAAATTGCAATTTAGACCCCTTCCTCCATATTTCCTCTGAATAAGGATGAGAAGGTGACTTGTCCATAGGTGATTACAGGAGAGGCTGCGTCAGCAGATGAAGCACGGGAAAGGGATGCCAAAGACATGCACGGTGAGTGCTGAGAGATGTCCAGAGCTTGCTTCCCTGGTGCAAACATGCAGGAAGGTAGAGGGTGGGGAGAAGGGGGCTGTGGGGTGCTGCTTCCTGTTTGAGATGGTTTAGGTTGATGGGAGAGGATTTCTCTCCCATGTGCTGACTGCATCAATGACTTAAATAGGGGTTCCCTGCTTCTTCCTCCAGGGCTCGGTCCTCATCCCCAACCCTCTCTTTTTTTTTTTTTTTTTTAAGACAGAGAGAGAGAGAATTTTTTAATATTTATTTTTTTTTTTAGTTCTCGGCGGACACAACATCTTTGTTTGTATGTGGTGCTGAGGATCGAACCCGGGCCTCACGCATGCCAGGCCAGCGCGCTACCGCTTGAGCCACATCCCCAGCCCCCCAACCCTCTCTTGACTGAAACCTCCACAGTGTAGACTGGTCACTGCTCAATTGTTCCAGGGTCAGTCCTTGCTGTCCATTACTCCTTTGATCCAGTCCACGTAGTTGAGTACTTTGGTGTAGAAGCCGTACCCCTTGCCACACCCAATGCCCCAGGATACGATGCCTGTGGCCACCCAGCGATGGGTGCGATCATCCCACACCACATAGACACTACCACTGTCCCCCTGGCAGACACTGTTCATCTGCATCTTATCCCCAACACAGAACATGTTGTCAGAGAACACCTCAGTTCGATGCCTCTCCCGGAGCCAGGCCTCACAGGCCTCCCTTGGAGCTACAGGCAGCCGTGAGTATTTCAGTTCCTCAGTTAACCAGCCCATCTCCACACCAAACCCACTGACATAGCCCCACAGGCCATCAAGGTAGAGGCTCTCGTTGTCAGGCAGACAGACTGGGAGGAGGTTGGGGCCCAGGGGGACGCTGTGCTGGAGCTCCAGGAGGGCGATGTCCCCATTGAAGTTGTGGGACTCGTTCTGATGGTAGTCTGGGTGCACAAAGACCCGGCGGACAGGGTAGTTTCCCACTTTCAGCATCTCAGCTATGTCTGTGTGGCCCAGGAACACATTCACGCTCCGGTTCTTCCTGAGGCAGATGCTGTCCTTAGGCTGGATGGTGTGGGCAGCAGTGAGGATCCATCTGTCGCCCAGTAGGGCCCCGCCCCCACGTCCATAGATGCTGGTGAAGGCTTGCCAGGGGAAGTTGCCCAGTTTAGCTTTGGAAGAACCCAGGATCTTTGGGTTCTGGGCAATGGGGGTGACTGGCTGTCCACAGACTGGGAGAGAGAGGGAGAAGGGAACAATCAGCCCTGCTACCAGACACATGGATTACAGAGCTGCTCTGTGAGTGTTGTGGTGGATGCATAAAGAAGGCCCCAGGTAATGCTCTGCATGGGATCAGGACCTTACGATGACACAGACCCATGAGTGTAGACCACAGGGACTGACGGAAGCAGTGAGTCAACTCTGACACTACTGGGCACATAACCTGTGTGGGACTCAGGACAGTGGACTGAGAGGTGGGGAGCCTGGATGAGCACTTTTGGGACTGACTCTGTGGGGCTCCCTTTCCTGCCTCCTCGGCCATCTTTAAGCCATTCCTCTAGACTCTTGGTGGGACTACCCCTGGGCCACATCATGGTGCCAGCAGAGTTTGTCTTTAGTACCTCTTGCCTGTTTTCTATGTCATTTCCTAATTTGTATCATGTGCATCTTCTGTCCTCCAACCCACTCCCTGAGCAGGAAACTTCAGGCTCGCCCTATGGTTTTCTGTGGATCCTATTGGATTTGGAAGGTAATGCTTTAGTTGAAAATGTGGCCAGGTGCAGTGGTGCACACCTGTAATCCCAGCAACTTGGGAAGCTGAGGAAGGAAGATCGCAAGTTCAAGGCCAGCCTTGGTAACCTAGTGAGACTCTGAGCAACTTAGTGAGACCTTGTCTCAAAATAAAAAATAAAAAGGGCTGGGGATGTGGCTCAGTAGTAAAGTACCCCTGGATTCCACCCTCAGTACTGGAAAAACAAAAGTGAATTATAAGTGATGGGTTTGAACCTTCATATTGCTGGTGAGATGTAAAATGTGGCAGCTTCTATGAAACACAGTTTGGTGGTTCCCCCAAAAGTTAAAGATGGAATTATCATATGATCCAGCCACTTCACTCATATCAGTATATTATTCATAATAGGCAAAAGTGGAAAGAAGGGACTGGGGCTGTAGTTCAGTGGCAGAGCACTTGCCTAGCACATGTAAGGCACTGGATTTGATCCTTAGCACTGCATAAAAATAAACAAATAAAATAAAGGCATGCTGTCCATCTACAACTACAAAAAATTTTAAAAAGTGAAAATAATCCACATGACATGCCCATCAGTTGATATATGGATAAATAAAATGTGGTATATAGGCACAAATGGATATTATTTAACTATAAAAAGACTGAGGGCATAGCATGGTGGTGCTCAACTGTAATAAGAGCAGCTCAGGAGGCTGAGGCAGGAGGAAATTCAAAGCCAGCCTCAGCAATTTAGTGAGGCCCTAAGCAACTTAGTGAGACCCTGTCTTTAAATAAGTAAATAAAAAGGGCTGGGATGTGGCTCAGTGATTAAGCACCCGTGGGTTCAATCCCTGGTACCAAAAAAGAAAAAAAAAAGTATAAAAGGAATGAAGTCCCCTGTGCACAGTGGTGCACGCCTGTAATCCCAGCAGCTCAGGAGGCTGAGGCAGGAGGATCCTGAATTCAAAGTCACTTCAGAAAAAGCAAAGCACTAAGCAACTCAGTGAGACCCTGTCTCTAATATAAAATACAAAATAGGGCTGGGGATGTGGCTCAGTGGTCCAGTGTTCCCGAGTTCAATCCCCCTGTACTACTGCACCCTGAAAAAGAATAAAGTACTGCTACAAAGTATACATATTATAACATTGATGAACCTTGAAAACATTATACTAGGTGGGAGAAGCCAGACATATATTGTGTGATTCTACTTGTATGAGATGTCCAGAATAAACAAATCTACAGAGACAGAAAGTAGATGAGTGGTTTCCAGGGGATGGAGGAACAGAGAGTTAGAGGTACTGGGTTTTTCAGATGGAGGATGGTGGAAATGTTCTGGAATTAGTGGTATTGTTTTTACAAAATCTACTGAATTGTACACTTCAAAATGGTTAAAATGGTGAATTTTGTCTCAGTTAAAAAAAACAAAACAAAACAAAACGTAGAGGGCTAGGGCATAGCTTACTGGTTAGAGCACTTGTCTAGCATATGCAAGGTCCTGGGCTTGAAGCTTGGCACCCTTCCCAACACACACACACACACACACACACACACACACACACACACACGTCTGCCATAGTGTAGCATCTAGGCAGGAAGATTTTGGGAGGGCAGGCAGAAAGCCTGTCTGTACCCTTAAAATACATACAAAGAGAATTTTCTCTTATTTCAACTTTCCTTTTCTTCCTCATTCACTCACCCAACTGATTATCCTCTTGTGCTTTTCTTTTCTCAGACATACTTTGACCCTTGAAGAATAAGGGACAAGCTCCTTGGCTCTTCTTTTCTGGGCCTTCCTAATTTCTTCCTCACTTTCTGTTCTCACACCTCTCTCTCTCTCTCTCTCTTTTTTTTTTTTTTTGTGGTCCTGGGGATTGAACCTAGGGGCACTTAAATTCTGAGCCACATCCCCAGCCCTTTTTATTTTGCGATAGGATCTCGTTAAGTTGATCAGGACCTCACTAAACTGCTGAGGCTGGCTTTGAATTTGTGATCTTCCAGTCTCAGCCTCCCAAGGTGCTGAGATTACAGGCGTGCACCACCATGCTCATCTACTCTCATCTCCTCTTTCTACCCCAAGGCTTTCCTTTAGTCCCCTGTGTCCCACAGGTCAAGTTACAGCTGAGGCTTGTTTGGGAGTGACCATGAGAACAGCACTGGGCAGGTAACTACTCACCAGGTACACACTGAGGAATCTCCACCCCATCCTGTCTGTCCTTCCAGGTCCCCCAGGATGGGCAGCTGAGTGTCCCTGAGGAGCAAAATGGGGGTTGGGAGCAAAGAAGCAGACTCAGAACTGGAAGGTGTCAGGCTAACAGATTAGGTCCTTCGAGGGCCTTAGTAGGTCTTTGGGTGGGAGTGAGACAGATGGAAATTGCTTATTCAGCAGATGGGAACTCACCCGCTGGCACTGCCTGATAATAGGGTTCCTGGCAGTGTCTATGGATCTTGGAGGAGTTGGCTCCCGGTACAATGATGGGTTCAGAGCCTCCACTGGCCTGGTTGATGGGCTGACTGCAGCTCACAACTGTAGGAAAATAGCTGTCATTAGGCCTCACACAGACTTGCAAAGTGGCAACTCAGGAACTGGTTCTGGCCATAACTATATTTTGTTTGACTTGAACAGTGCTTTTTAAAAAGTATTCGAAGGCCAGGTGCCGTGGCACATACCTGTAATCCCAGCAACTCTGGAAGATGAGGCAGAAGGATGGCAAGTTTGAGACCAGCCTCAGCAACTTAGTGAGACCATGTCTCAAAATAAAGTATAAAAGAGGGGCTATAGATGTACCTCAGTGGTAGAGCACACCTGGGTTCAATCCCCAGTACCCCCCCCCAAAAAAAAAAAATTGAGCTAGTTCTTACTAACTGGTTGTCAACATGCAAAGACTTCAAAAATAACTATGGCTAAGTGGGATATGGGGGAGACAGAGACTTCCAAACATGGTTGGTGGGAGTGTAAATCAGTAAAACCTTTATGGAGGGGAATTTAACAATACCAAAAATAAAAATGCAAGTCTTTTTTGACCGACCATTTCAATTTCTAAGACTTAAAGATGCTCTCTTACACACACTCAGAAATGTATATGTAAGGCAATCCACATCATCATTGTTTATGGCAGTAAAATATCTATTGGCAGAGAATTGATTAAATAATTATGACATGTCAATCAAAGGGATATTCTGTGATCATTAAAAAGGAATGAGTCAATGCTAATCCTATGCATATGGAATGATTGTTAAGATACAGCAAGTGAGAGGGTGGAGTCGTTGCTCAATGGTAGAACGCTTGCCTGGCATGTGTGAGGCACTGGGTTTGATTCTCATCACCACATATAAATAAATAAAATGCAGGTCCCTTGACAACTAACTAACTAACTAACTAATTAAATAATTTTAAATAAAGATATAGCAAGTGAAAAAACAATTTAGAACATTGTATATAGTATGTAACACACACATAATATATCTTCAAAGTGTATAGAATATTTTGGAAGAATATGCAGGAAATGGAAAGCAAAGTTGTTTCTGGAGAAAGTAACCAGGAACTAAGGGCCAGAGATCAGAGGAACACTTATCACACTATCTACTGTGTTTTTGCCTTTTAATTTAACACATGGAAGTACTTTTTTTAAAAAAAAGTCTGAGTCACCATTTGAAAAATCTAAAATTTTACTTAAAACTCTTTTTGGCTTCTCTTGATCTGTAAATCTGCCTGGAAACAATGGCTGGAGCTAAGCAATGATTTCCCCTTAATTGGGCTGCTTGCTAGTAGGGTCAAGAATGGGGCAAGGATGGGGTCCACCCAGATGTCCCTGAACCCCTAGCCTCAGCAGTCACTCAAGTTTCCACTTGTCCCTTCAAGATACCAGTATAGTGGCACCCCCTACTCCACAGAAAATTTTAATTAAGCTTCTCCAGAGACCCTCACCATAATTGTTCTTAGACTATCAGCAAGAATTTCTGCAAAAGAGTTTCAAAAGTGGTTAAGCTTCCTATTTCCTGTTGCTCTATCTTGTCATAACTATCTTGTGGGCCCGGAGGAGATCAGCACTCCAGATGTTGAGAACCCCTTTACTAGTTTTTCACAACATTTATGGGCTATCTAGTGTAGTAAATTTTCTAGTCTAAAATTACATATGATTGTAAGAGTTTTTAGGCGGAAAGTGTGTTTACAAAAGCAGAGTGTGATGAAGGAAGCACACAGGCTCCTTTAACACAGCCTCTAGCCTTAGCTAGGAAGCCTTTGCAGGGCTGTTTACATTTCAAAGGAAAGTAGTTAGATTCTGGGGAAAGTCTTTTTTTGGGGGGGAGGGTACTCAGGGGCACTTGGCCGCTGAGCCACATCCCCAGCCCTATTTTGTATTTTATTTAGAGACAGGGTCTAACTAAATTGCTTAGCTTCTTGCTTTTGCTGAGGCTGGCTTTGAACTGGATCCTCGGAGCCCCTGGGATTACAGGCCTATGCCACCACAGGTGGGGGTGGGGGTGGGGTTGTGGAGAGGGGGGGAGTGAGGGGTGTCCAAAAGAGTAGATGAGTAGATGGTGCTGGTGCTAATTAGGTTCCTTGGAAAAACCAGCTGGTGGGGTGTGGGGAGGGAGAAGGGGAGGCAACTGTCCCTTTCCCAGGCACTGATTTTCACAGAGAGTGTCCTAGAGTTATTTTTGTATCCAGGCTTGGGTTGATTGCCCAGAACAATAGAAAAAACCTACTTTTATGTGAACTTCTGCAGATTGTGAGTCTCTGAGCTCCCCCTCCCCGTATACACTGGGTATAAAGTTTTAAACATTTCTGAACTTTGGGTTCAGAGAAATTAACTGATTTAGGTGAAAGCCTTCCTCTGGACCTGGGCTACAGCCAATACTGCTTCCTGCTGATTCCTCAGTGTCCAGCTTCATCTGTCCTACAACACCGGGACCACAGCTGGGGACAGAGGCTCTCTGCCTGCACCCAAGGAGGGATACTCACCCACAGCTTGGAAGAGGGCCAGAAAGCCTTTGTGGAGATGGGTGGTCTTATCTTTGGAGGAAGTGTGTGCACGGAAGGTCAGCCGAAATCTCCTCCCTGAGGACACAAACTCCCCCTGACCAGGGGGGCTGCCCAGAGAGGAGCCCTGCTTACCACAGAGCTGGCTCAGATCTATCCTACTAGCTGAGATCTGAAAGGAAGACACAGAGGAGTGAGAGGTCAGGTAAGTATACAGTGAGTCTGCACCACTGGTGGACACAGGGTCACTTTTGGGTTAGTTGGTGTGTGACTCCAGTCCCACCTAGAAGGTCTGCACCTCTCTGGCACTCAAAGGCCACACTTTCTTTTTCTTTTTCTTTTTTTTTGGTACTGGGAATTGAACCCAGAGGCACTTAACCACTGGGCCACATCCCCAGGCCTTTTTAATACTTTATTTAGAGACAGGGTCTCCCTGAGTTGCTTAGGGCCTCACTAAGTTGCTGACTCTGGCTTTGAATTTGCTATCCTCCTGCCTCAGCCTCCCAAGCTGCTGGAATCATAGGCAGGTGCCACCGCGCCCAGCTTGTGCCTCAGTATTTTGAGAAAAGCTGTACATTCCTGGATAAGAGTTTGGAAGAAATTAGTTACAGGGAGAACTAAGCAAACTAAAAATTGAAACAAAACCCAACAACCTTCCCGCCCTTAGAGAACTCCCTGTCATTACTGACTCCTGGGAAACCCAAAAGTTGGAGAAGGAAATATAATTACTGAATACTATGTGCACAAATGTGAAATAATAAATATAGATTCAACTAATAATGATAACATTGATAAACTGGGAAAATTGGGCAAGGGAAATGTGGATGGTGAAGGTCTAAGAAAGATAAAACCAGTCCTTATTTTCTATGGTTGGAATTAATAGGAAATGAGAAATAATGAAAAATGAATAATAGACTAAAATTGAAAAGTGAGTAATAGACTGAAAATGAACAATGCATAATATAATAAGCATTATTCATATATATGAAGGTAAATACCAAATGAAACCGTTACATGAATTGGAAAGGATTGCTCCTGGGGAGCAGCATTTAAGGGGGTGTGAGAGGAGTAGACTGCAGACTGCTATTTCTCATTAGAAGCCTTGAAAGACCCTGCTTTTTTTTAAAAAAAAAAATATGTGCATGTTTTATTTTGATATAAACAAAATTTAAGCCAAAAGACAATATAAAGTACTGTTCTAAAAATGTCCTCATTCTGAATAATGCCCATGCCCTAAGAAGTCTTGGGGTATCTTCGCCAAGGTAAACTTTTCCCAGGAACTCAACAATAGCTGATGTGTGAGTCCTTGACCTTTTCCTCTAGAGCTGCAATGTTTATGTTTCCTTTTGTAAGTCTAAAATGCAAGACCTGTCCTGCCACTTTCTCTTTTGTCCTCCAGCACTCAGATAGTAGCCAGGGACAGAGACACTGGTAGGAAGCCATGTTTTGGGTAGACTGCCACTTCCCTGACTTGCACTCTTCATCCCCCTGCCCCCCCCCCCCCCCAGATGGGCGATTCAGGGCAGATTCACCTCCCACTGCCCCTGGGAGTCTCCCTCCCCAGGGTCCCTGAAAGCCCTCTCCCCGAGCTCACTGTGACAGAATCCCCTTCTGGAAATGGCTCTAAGTCGAAGTCCTGGAAGACTAACCTCACAGTAAACCCTCTGGAGCCTCAGTGCTGCTCTCTTGGCCTTTAAGATATGGCTTTGGGTACCCAGGGGATGTCAGCTCCTGGGGGAATCACTAGGCCAAGGGCACAGAGCCCTGTGTGGGGTAAGACTGGAGGACTCCCCAGAGGAGGAGCCAGCACCTGTGAGTAGGGGAGGCCATGGATATATGAAAATAACATATATCCATGGCCAAGTGACAATAAGGAATAGGAAGGCCTGTGGCAAAGGCAGGGCCAGTAGCTTTGGCCTCAGCCCTTGAGGCCTGGCCACTTCCTGTCTACTCCCTCATTATTACCCTTTCCTCACCCAATTCCTACAGCCTCCCATTCGGCTTGAGCTGCAGAACTCAGTTTTCCACCCTCTGAGGACATTGCCATTGCTCCTTTCCCTGGAGAGTCTCATCTGCAGAAGGGCTGCCTTCTGCCTGGATCTGAAGCAGCAATGAGGGTACAAGAGGGGGACATTTAAATGTTTCCTGTTCAGAGCATTAAGCCTGACCAGCTCCAGGGAAGAAGGCTGCTAGAGGCCATAAGCAAACTCCAGTTCCCTCTGGACTAACTGCTCTGTGCGTGTGTGTGCGTGGGCTGTGTGTACATAGGCTGCATGTGTCCTATTCCCTGTCCTATCCTCCCTCTCCTCACCCTTTTCCTCTTCCAGGCCTCTCCCCGGGGCACACTTACATCTTGCCTGGGCAGCTTGTGGAGGGAGGGCTTTTCCAGAGATAGCTCCCCAACTCTGGGACCAGCCATCTGGAACCAGACATCTGGAACCTGCTAGAGGACTTGGCCCAGGCCAGGGAACAGGAGGTGGGGCTGGAGAAGGCTCTGTGGGCCCTGTGGGGAGGAGGGAGAAGTTACTGGAAATGAGTTGAGTAACTAGTTCCCTTTTTCTAATTCTCTGGGTTGAGTGCCACCTGCTGTCCAATAGCTTATCCACCACAACTGGGAAAAACAATCTCCAAAACCATGCTGGCCTTCAGGCATCAGAGTGGAGGGCACCACCTTTTGACACTTTTTTTGATTTTTGTATACAGTAAAAACTAATTTTTACTGTATGTGTATCACGTGTGGTATGATGGCTTGAGCCTTTAACCAGTCATCTCTCTCCCTCCCACTCCCTTACATTACCATCCTGCAGCTTGGAGAACCTGTGACCCATGAACTTGAGCATTCTTTTCCTCTCCCTTTTCACCAAAGATGGGTTGGGGTCATTCGACTTACACCATCTTTTATTTTATTTATTTATTTTTGGTACTAATGTGTACTTAACCACTGAGCTCACTCCCCAGCCGTTTTTAATTTTATCTTGAGACAGGTTTTGCTATGTTGTTGAGGCTGGCCTTGAACTTGTGATCCTCCTGCCTCAGCCTCTTGAGTTACTGGAATTATATGTGTTTGCTGCTTGGCTTATATAGTCTTTTAAATCCCTCCCATAACCTCTGGAAGTTCCTTATCTACCATGGTCAGGGCCACAGGCGAGCTCAAGTATCCCCACATCCCTAGGAATCAGCTCAGCTGTCACTTCAAATTTCTTAAGCAGATACAAGAGGACAATTGGGGTCAGAGGCTCCCTCACTACACTCCCGGGAAGGACTCTTACTCATGGCTTGGCAGTGGGCCAGGAAGCCCTTGTGGAGGTAGGTGGTCTAGTCCTCAGAGGAAGCAATTGTATGGAAGGTCTAGACACATACCTGTCTTGAGAAGAATCTACTGTTTCTTCCATTTTACTTTTAGTAACTTGGTTTTTCACAAAGGCAGCAAGTTATAATCCCTAACAGGGTATGTTCTGGATGTTTGGTTTTTCCAGATTAAAAAGGTTTGAAAGAGCCACAGTCCATAGCTATAAGGGGATGGCAGAGTCATACCTGATGTCCCAGGCAAAGTCTAGAAATCTACTCTACCCTGTGCACCATGTCCCAACCCCAAATACACCTGGGGATGATCTCCAAAATTCATCTTTTGAGGAACAGGCCCTTCTGGCTGGGATTTCTTCCTTCCCCCCAAAGCACTGAAACCCACTCTGTCGTCTAACTCTTAGGATCACATATAGCAGTTGGAAATCCAGAGTTGCTTTCATGGGGTGCCCAAGGTTCCAATCCCACAACCCACCTGTTGGGAAGAAACCAGTGTGGCTCAGGTCAGGGCTTATTCCCCTGAAAAATCAGGGAGGATCAGAACTATCCTCTGTTCCTGAGCTATTCCTAAGAGGGGTGGGGACTGGAATACTAGTTTAGCAGGTCTGAGGAGACTTCCCTGGAGATGTTCTGGAGGAAACGAGGAAAAAGGCCTTTAAAGGAGGCTCCAGAGCATATAGGAGGCCCAGCTGTCCTGATGTGCATGTGACTGAGGGGCTTCCTGCGTTTTCAGTTTTATAACAAAGCAAGTTCTGGGAAAACCAGGACATTGGCTGCCCCTTCATGGACAGGGGTTAAAGTGCTGGATGGAAAGAGGACAGGAAGCCAAAAGAGAAAGAGACAGTGACATCCCTAGAGCTGGTGATTGTGTCAGTCTGGGGCTAGATGTATGGGTCCCTGTTTGGGTAAATCTGACAACTTGAATATGAGGATCTGCTTTGTTCTCACTTAAGTGGTGTAGCTGCAGGGTGTTGAGGTCCAGGGTCCAGTCTCCAGGGACTTGGCCCTGGAGATGGAGCCTGACAGCTGTGTGTAGCTGGTGTGAGGCCTACAACTGTGCTTCTATCCTGTTTGCAGCACCACCTCCCCTGCACCTAGGCTTCTTCTCCAGCTTGCAGGGACACAGAAGTAGCTGTTGCTCTCTGGTTTCTAGCCTGGGCAGGAGAAGCAGAATAGCTACCTAAGTAATTATGGGCATAGATGCAGACACAGGCTTTTCAGGACTGACACTGCAGGATGGCACACTTGTCCATGTCTGGGTGGGGAGATAGGAAAGATGAGAAGTTGATGATGTGGGTTTTAGAGCTGTGGGGACGGAGCAGGACTGAGGGAGAACTAGCACTCCTTCCTTAATTTCATCACCAGCAGCTTTTGTTCACTTTGATCTCTCTGGGGCCACAGGTGGATGCTAGAATAGGCTGTGAAGGTTATAGCATCGGGCCTCTGAGCCACTCCCTTGAGCTCCAACCTCTAAAAGTGGGTTTCCTCTCATTGTGTGATGCTTGGCTCATAACCAGGCTGGAAGCAGCTTGAGTGTATCAGATATTTCTACCTTTGCTTCTCTAAATAATGCATGCATGGAACAGACTCCACTAAGCTGAAAAGATCTGAACTTACATTTGAGCTATTGTTTATCTCAAGACAGTTTGTAGCTTAAGTAAATAGCCTACTGGAAGCACACACACGTAACAGAAGAATGGAGATGGCAGAAGGAAAAGTCAGTGATCTTTCCTCTGAACAACAGAGGAAAATATTCTTTAAAAGAGCAGAAGTTCCAGGAAACCGTTAGACAATATAAAAAAACAAAACAAAACACAAAATATACGTTTTCTTGGAATTTCAGGAGAGAGAGAAAGAGAATGATGCAGAAGAAATATTCAAAGAAACAGTGACTGAATTTTCTCTCATTTTGGTGAGAGATACATATTTTTAGACTCAAGAAGCTTAGTAACCCCAAAGCAGAGTTGAAAGTAAAAAATAAAAAAAGCACACATTGACATATCTTAGTCAAACTTCAAAAAAAAAAAAAAAAGCAAGATAAAGAAAATATCTTGAAAGTAGTCAGAGAAAAAGGACACATAACATAACAGAGAAGAATATTTTCAATGTCATTGTCTTGTCATCAACAACTAGGCAGACTAGGAGACAGTGGAATAACATCATTAAAGGGCTGAAAGAAAAAAAGTCGGCCAAGTTTTTTTTTCGAGTGAAGATATTTTTCTAATATGAAGATGAAATAAATCTACAGATTTTGTCAGCAGCAGACCTGCACTGTGAAGAGTGCTGAATAAAGTTCTTCAGGCTGAAGGGAAATGAGGCTAGATGGAAGAGCAGAGCCATAGGCTGGAATAAAGAAGTAAATTTGTAGGTGAATGTAAAATACATTTTCCTTATCAAGGTCTTTAAAATACATAAAAAGCCTTAAGGCAAAAATTATCACACTGTATTGTAAGGTTTATAAATGTATAGATGTGCCCGGAGTTGTGGCTCACACCTGTAATCCCCGCAGTTTGAGAGGCTGAGACAGGAGGATGGAAAATTCAAAGCCAGCTTCAGCAACTTAGCGAGGCCCTCAACAATTCAGTGAGACCCTGTCTCTAAATAAAATACAAAAGAGGGCTGAGGATGTAGCTCAGTGGTTTGGTGCCCCTAGGTTCAATCCCTGGTACCAAAATAAATAAATAAATAATAAAAACAAAATATATCGTGCAGAGGGGAGTGAGAGGATGGTTGGAGCTGTGGGGATGGGAAGGACAGTAGAATGAGACAGACATCATTACCCTATATACATGTATGATTACACTACTGGTGTGACTTTACACCACGTACAGCCAAAGGAATGAGAAGTTGTGCTCCATTTGTGTACAATGTGTCAAAAGGCATTCTACTGTCATGTATAACTAATTATAACAAATTAAAAACAAAACAAAAGAAAAAAATAGAAGGAAGACTAGTAGAATAGAGGAAAGGGATTAGGGGGAAGGAGGGCAGGGAAAGTGGGGGTACTGGGGAATGAAATTGATTAAACTATACTGTTTTATTCTGTGCACGTATGAATATATTATAACAAATCCTACTTTTATGTAATTATAATGCACCAATAAAAAAAAAAGAAAAAGAAACTAAAAAATAAAAATTAAAGGGCTGGGAATATAGCTCAGTTGGCAGAGTGCTTGCCTTGCATGTACAAGGCCCTGGGTTCTAATCCCCAGCACCACACACACACACACAAATAACTTAAAAATAAAAATAAAATATGTGTAGATGCGATCTACACGGAAACTATAGCATATAGGATGAGTGGTTGAACTCAGAAGGTTATAAATTTCCTTCATGTTACCTGAAGTGTAACAAATATGAACTTTAAGACTAGAAAGTTAAGGGTGTATTCTGAATTCCTGGTAGATGTTTCTCTGGAGAGCAGTTGCTCTCTTCATTGTCTGGGAAGCCCTCTGGGGCGAGAGTCTTAATATCCTTTCAGGGGGTCTATTAGGTCAAAATGATTTTATAAAAGCATTAAGATACTATTTGCTTTATTTCCCTCTCATTCTCTCATGAGTATACAGTGGAGCGTACCAGAGGCTACATGATCTGTGATGATTTATCTATCGCCTGATAACTATTGGAATGTGTGTTGTGTATATTTGTGTTTTAAATTTTTCTTTTTAATTTTTTTTTTCTGTTGATACTGGGGATTGAACCCAGGGGTGCTTTACCACTGAGCCACCATCCCCAGCCCTTTTTATTTTCTATATTGAGACAGGGCCTCCTTAAGTTGCTTAGGGAATCAGTAAGTTGCTGAGGCTGACCTTGAATTTGTGATCCTCCTGCTTCAACTTTCTATAACTTTGGGATTATAAGCATGAGTCACAATATCTGGCTTTCTGTTTTAATTTCGAAAACATTGAATATTAATAGAAATAACTTACATAAGCAAATACTCTTCAGGGTTTGCAATATATTTTTTTAAAAATCTCTTTTTTTTTTTTTTAAGAAAGAGAGAAAGAATTTTAGAGAGAGAGAGAGAGACAGACAGACAGAATTTTTTAATATTTTATTTTTTTGTTTTTGGCGGACACATCTTTGTTTGTATGTGATGCTGAGGATCGAACCCGGGCCGCACACATGCCAGGCGAGCAGCGCTACCGCTTGAGCCACATCCCCAGCGCCTGCAATAATTTTAAAGTCTATAAAATT